TTTGCAATATAGATAAAATTAAGCCCATATATATTAGTAATGTATAGCTTTGATAGGTGTAAAGCACAGCAGGATATAGTAATATAAACAGTTAGGCTGTATGAGGGGCCTGCTAAATAAAGAAAAACTGAAGTGAAGCCTAGCTTCAACATTGATATATTTGTATGTTAACATGTTTGATAGCGCTTGTACAAGAAACTTATTCTCCAGGAAACGTAATTAAGCATTAAGAAACCTGACAGACACTTTTGACGTTCAATCCGTAATCTGTAGGTTTGTTTATTGGGACAGGACGTCGTTCTTTCTGAAGTATTGTTTTCACACAACAGCCGATAATCCCTAAGCTTACTCTGGTCCATTCGCCTTATTCAAAAAGATTGAGAGAAGTTTCAGCTCTAGTGACCAACTCCGAGAGTTGGCTTCTTTCGCGGGAATACCTCTGCCTTCTGGCTTCAAACGACCAAAGCATTTATTTTGTAATCTAGGCTTACATACATTTACATTCATACATAATTTACATACATTTAATCATACATACAGCCATACATACCATGCGTACACACAGCCATGTAATCATTCGTACATGCTGAATAGGAAGCGTGTGTATTGATCTGTTGTCTTAATCACTGACCCATCAAGAGTGTCAGTCGCCAGGTATAAAATATTTTTATTGTGATAACTATCACACCTGATCATGACTTATTTGTCTGAATGAGACGCCTGAAAACAAGGGGTGAACCTTTACACAGTAACTCGGGGAAACAATTTCTGTGCTATAGAATCAAAGTACCGTTGTGCTCATGTGTATGGAGTACATATATCTCACGATGATGTGTCATTCCTTAACCAGTACGATGTATGGCATAAGTATATACACTTAAAAGTAGACACATGTTAACGATAATAATGACAGAGAGATAAATAAACGCAGGTCGGGTAAGTATTGTTTGCCATTTTTTAAACAGTTTTTCATAAGATGAAAGAAATGATGGTGCAGAAAAACAGACTAGCAATTAACACTATAGCCGTGATGCAAATGCGTTACTTAAAACAGTCCACAAAGAACAATATATAGGGCGCCTTTTTACTATTTATTCGTTATATGATATCAATAATTCATATATGGATACTAAAGAATGAATTTATATCACACATTTGATTTTGTTTTATCATGAAATGTTTATCAATATGGCAAATCGGTTTTTAGATATCAATTATCAAATGTACTTTATCATCTAAAAAATCAAATGTGGTATTGTATCTATAGCCTTCGTCTCCGTGAGCTTTATGCCCATTTTTTAATAATTCGTGAAGATAGATACAGTATCGTGACATTTGCATATATAGTCATATTCAGATGATGTCCCTACATATATATTGAGTCAAATTAAAAACTTCACATTTTTAAAAGTAATCCCATATAAGATATACAACGGACAAATGTATCAGAGAAGGTAATTTTTAATCATTTATGTCCAAAGAAGGATTTTAATTAACGGTGGTAACCATAATTTGTTCCAAGCACCTACAGTATTCGGTAATAAAATCAACAGTTTAAATCATAAGTCCCAAGCACGAGAATCTGATGGCACACAAGTTCAGTAGCGTGTATGGCCACCATGTGCGTTGAAAACTGCCACACAACGCCTCCGCATGGACCTTGTGATGCTTGTGAACACATGATTGGGAAGACGACGCCATTGTTGCTGCAAAATGGTGCCAAGATCTAGCAAATTCTGTGGTTGGTTCTGGAGAGTGCGCAGACTTCTGCCAAGAACATCCCAGGCGTGTTCGATGGGATTAAGGTCGGGAGACCTTGAAGGCCAGTCCATGACGTTGACTCCCGCATTCTGAAGGAAATTCCTTGTCAAAATTGCTGTGTGGGGTCTGGCATTGTCGTGTTGGAAGATCAAACCGGGTCAATGTACATGTGCTGTCATAAAAGGTTGGTTGGTTGGTTGGTTGGTTTGTTGTTTAACGCCGCAATCAGCAATATTCCAGCTATATGACGGCGGTCTGTAAATAATCGAGTCTGGACCTGACAATCCAGTGATTAATGTCATGAGCATCGATCCACGCAATTGGGATCGATGACATGCATCAGCCAATTCAGCGATCCTGACCACCCGATCCCGTAAGTCGCCTTTTACGACAAGCATAGTCACCTTTTACGGCAAACATGGGTTGCTGAAGACCTATTCTACCCCGGAATATTCACGGGTTTGCCATAAAAGGCAGAAGTTTTGGTGCCAGTACATGGTCCCTGTAAGCAGCAGCGTTGATGTTGCCACGGATGACAAGAAGCCTGGAACGTGCATTGCCACAGAAAGCACCCCACACCATGACACTTCCGCCTCGAAATCTGTCAACTTCCTGCACACAACACAGGGCGTAACGTTCATGACGTCGCCTCCACACCCTCGCCCTACCAACAGCAAATCGAAGATTAAATCGGGATTCTCCACTGAAGACGACTTGATTCCAATTGCTCTGAGTCCATCGTAAGTGTCGCTGGGCCCACAATTGACGTTGACGTCTGTGTAATTGAGTCAGAATCGGCCCGCAGTATGGCCGTCGTGCTTGAAGGTGAACAGTGCTCAGACGGTTTCGAACAGTTTGCGCACTCAGTCTACCCCTAAACAGTTCATTTCTGGTTGATGTAGCCGTCAAAAATCGGCTACGGAGGTGACGTAAAGACAATCTATCGATCCTCTGCATGTGACGTCACACGTGGTCGACCTGGCCGAGGGCGATCAGCGGTGGTACCCGTTTGCTGTAGACGCGTCTGTAAATCACAAACAGTCCGTCGACTACAACTCATCGTCCTTGCGACTTCAGCTACGGACGTTCCCGTCTTCAACATGCCGATGGCACGTTCACGTTGCACATTTGAAAGACGTGGCATGACAAATGGCCGTAAAGACTTTTGTTTTTTGGTTTTTTTTATTAATGACTGCTAACAAGTATGGCTGAAAACACGTGCTGTATTATGGCCACGTGACTAGTTGCACGTGGAAAACCACTTTTGCCACTATAGTGCTGTGCACATGATTTTGATCGATTCACCTGCACAAAAACGGGTGTTATCTGAAGACAATACGTGGCCATTACTGTTTAAATACACAATAAGGGCCCACAATGATAACTGGTCAAAATGTTAAAATTTTAGGATTGTGAAGTTTTTAATTTGGTTCAGTATATGTAAAGGCAAGCTTCTTCCCTTTGTTTAGTCAGCAGCTGTCCTCCTGGCTATGAATGTGGAACACAGGCTTTAGGGTTACATATGAATCTTGTTATCATTGTATTATCCCGCGATATGCCAAGGAGAGGCACGGGCCACCGAGCCGTGGGTGCCCGTGCCTATAATAAAAACAGAAGATGAGGTTGGGTAAAATGGCCGAGGGTGTGCAGGTACTAGTGGGCTACTTAGCTGCTAATTGTGTATACGAAAATGCTACCGTTGCCATGGCCACGCGCGTGGCCGACGGCGATTGCAGCTAGCGCTGCTGGCCTGGGACTGCTACCGCTGTCCGGCCCCCACGGTAGCATATTTAAACGCTACCATTGCTTGGCAACTCCCACGCTGCCAAAAGCAGCTCCACGCTGCTGGCCTAAGTCAGACTGCCGCTGCCCGGCCCCAGGTAGCCGGCCAAAGCAGATCACACTGCCCGGCCCCATTAGCAAAACCATTGTGCGGCCCCCGCCGCGGACCCAACTGTCAGCTACCGCTTGACAAGACGACTTCCGCCGCCGGGCCCATATACGTGGCAATTGTTTGCCCCAACGTATGTTATTTTACGATTCCCCGGCTGAAAAGTCGGGAAAGACAAGGTTCCCACTGAGAAGCAGGTAACCCCGGAAAGGTTCCCGCTGAAAAGCAGGTAGCCTTAAGCACGAGTATTAATTTGGAAGCAAGTTAATTTGTTACTAGCAGTGTAGCCCACAAGAACCCCGCACACCGACATAGTTTATTGTTGAGACAGGTATTGCATATATACATATATACAGCTATTAAGAAGTCATGTTTATTTACATATATCAGAATCATTTAAAAGTATGTACGTATATACAAGCGCTCTGAAAACCTATTTTACATATGTACAGGTTTATTTACATATATACAATCCGCTCTGCTGGTACCTGTAATAGAATAAACGCTGAAAAAGAAGTGATTAGCATTCCAGGTGAAGAGGACACGTCAGGCTGAAAGGGAAAGAAAAGGGAGTGGCAAGCTGAGTGGGTGGGTGGGTGGGAAAGCGATTAGCTGCAGTGACACACGTGTGTACTTGGGGAAGGGTGTCTCGCGAATGACCGAACAAAGGGGCGGGATGATGCTTGCGCGGGATTATTCCCCGGGCACGGTGCCGAGTGGTGGCCCGGGGTGATTGGGTTACGAGGGGTGGTTGGGTTACAGACGTAATTAGCCCATGGTTTGGATACGCGCGATAAAGTCATTTAGTCGTTAGTACTAAATGTAATTATCCCGCGATATGCCAAGGAGAGGCACGGGCCACCGAGCCGTGGGTGCCCGTGCCTATAATAAAAACAGAAGATGAGGTTAGGTTAAATGGCCGAGGGTGTGCAGGTACTAGTGGGCTACTTAGCTGCTAATTGTGTATACGAAAATGCTACCGTTGCCATGGCCACGCGCGTGGCCGACGGCGATTGCAGCTAGCGCTGCTGGCCTGGGACTGCTACCGCTGTCCGGCCCCCACGGTAGCATATTTAAACGCTACCATTGCTTGGCAACTCCCACGCTGCCAAAAGCAGCTCCACGCTGCTGGCCTAAGTCAGACTGCCGCTGCCCGGCCCCAGGTAGCCGGCCAAAGCAGATCACACTGCCCGGCCCCATTAGCAAAACCATTGTGCGGCCCCCGCCGCAGACCCAACTGTCAGCTACCGCTTGACAAGACGACTTCCGCCGCCGGGCCCATATACGTGGCAATTGTTTGCCCCAACGTATGTTATTTTACGATTCCCCGGCTGAAAAGTCGGGAAAGACAAGGTTCCCACTGAGAAGCAGGTAACCCCGGAAAGGTTCCCGCTGAAAAGCAGGTAGCCTTAAGCACGAGTATTAATTTGGAAGCAAGTTAATTTGTTACTAGCAGTGTAGCCCACAAGAACCCCGCCACAAAGCACCCGAGTGCTACCCCACACCCACGGCCACGTGATACGCGGAGATAGCATTGTTGCCCGGCTTGCCTATGTACTGAAAGGAAACACTAACCTGTGGAGATAATATCCTTACTGGCGCAAAACGAGCGCCAGGGCATGCAATAAATTGTCCGTAAACACACACAGTCCTTTGTCGCTGAGGTGGACGCCCTCCCAGGCGTACCATGTCTTGTCTGATGCCTGGATCTGGGGATGTGGCACCATTGTACCGCCGAGCTCTTTGACTCGGTTGGCCAGTCGGCGGTTGATATTCTTCCGCATCCCCTCGATCTTTAGTGGGTCCCTGGCATCGTGCCAGTAGCGCCTGGGCAGCATTGAGGATACGATGATCCTTGTGTCAGGAAGCTGGAGTTGTATCCGAAGGATTGATGCCACCATGTCAAGGTAGAGTTGGCTGCCCTTGACCGAGCACAGGTCGTTGGAGCCCAGGTGAATGATGAGGGCTCTGGGGCTGCGCCGTGTCGCCTTGACCTGTGCATCCAGAATGGTGTCCAGCTCCTTCCACCTCATCCCCCCTCGTGCCAGCCATAGCATCCTCGGTTGGTTCGGACTGGTGCCCTTCAGGAGCAAGTACTGCCGTGCCCTGGCCATGTAGCTGGATCCCACCATCCAAACTCTTGTAGCTGGTGTGCGGACCGGAACTGGTGCAAGGCATTGATGCCTGTTTGGTAAGTGGCCCATGTATTAGTAGACAGAGATTGTTGTAGGAGTCTGCCGGCTTCCTGCCTCGGATCAGCCATATGTTGCACGGGATAGGTGTGGGGTTCTGGTCCGCGGCTGGTGCTGCCTCTCGGAAGCGTTTGAGCTGAAACCTCGAGAGAGCATCGGCAATAGTGTTAGCAGTGGAACATACATACTTTGCCTTAAACATAATATTATATCGGAGGCACTGCAGGATTAGGCGACGGAGTAGGCTCATCACTTTGGGGGCCTTGGTTGACTGCTTGTTGTTTATTGTTACGACGGCTTGGTTGTCGCAGTAAAAGAGGACCTTTTTGTTTGCGAGTTGCTTGCCCCAGATTTGGATGGCCAGTGTGATGGGGAACAGCTCCAGGAGCGTCAAGTCCCGTGTAGTTCCATCCGTCACCCACTGGGTTGGCCATGCGCCGTTAAACCATTTGCCCTGCATGTAGGCCCCAAAGCCGGCGCCGCCCGCTGCGTCTGAAAACAGCTGGAGGAAATCGCTGTCCACCCATAGTTGGTCCTGAAACACTGAAATGCCGTTGTAACTCGTAAGAAATGTTAACCACATTTGTAGGTCTTCCTTGACCCAGCTGGTAATCCTAATGTGGTGAAATGGTTGCTTACCTTTGCTGAGCAGATCGATTAGCCTGCGGCTGAATGCCCTTGCCATTGGTGTAGCCCTGCACATAAAGTTAAGCTTGCCTATGAGGGACTGAAGGGCCCTTTTTGTGACCTTGATGTTACCTGTTGACAGGATGTCATGGATTTCCCTTGTTGCCTCCTTGATCTTGGGCTCTGGGATTCTGATCTGCATTGCAATGGTGTCGATTTCCAGCCCTAGGAATGTCAGTTTGGTTGTGGGGCCCACCGTCTTGTCGTGCGCAATAGGAACCCCAAGCTGTTCAAGTGTATTCACGCATCCGTTGAGGTTGTCTGAGCAGTGGCTGGAGCCTGCTGTGCCCCCCGTTAGGAAGTCGTCCAGGTAATGCATGATCGGACGCGTTGGAAGATGCGATTGCATGCACCATTGCAAGAAGGTACTAAACGTTACATATGAATCTTGTTATCATTGTATTTTAATGCGATTTGAATATTATTATTTACTATCGTACTTACTTCATGTTTTAAATGAGACGTTTTATATTTATATGTCACCACAAATTACAATTATTGCTTGTACGTTCGACACAATTGACAAATACTCTAAAAGATATAACTAGTAAACCATTAATGTACGTTGAAAATGCCTGCATGGTGGGACACAGAGTGTGATAGACTGAAGTCGGAGAAGTATTTTAATCTGGATAGATTCAGAGACACGGATAGAGATGAAGATTACCAAGTATATAAACAGCACAGACGAACCTTTAAAGAATTATGCAAACAGAAACAAGATTAATTTCAGCGTTCACTCAGAGATTGATTTAATGAGATAAAAAGTGATAACAACAAACTGTGGAAGGAAATCAAGAAAATAAAATGTTGCAGGAAAACAAACAGTATCAGTTCTTGGGGATGGTTTTCATATTTCCAGAATCTATTAAATTCTCCCCGTTCGAAGTCATCTATTGAAGATTTAGTAAAATCAGACATATCACAGCATGACAATGATGTATGTGAGGCTTGTGAACGTGGATCGCCTGAAGACGTAAACAGAGAGATATCAAGTGATTAAGTGAAGACAGCCATTATCAACATGAAATCAAATAAAGCACCAAGATGTGATGGGATCTCTTCTGAACTATTTCTGAATTCTTTGGATATTATTGTTCCTATATGTGTGCATCTGTTTAACGAGATAATGAAATCAGGTGTTTATCCGGAATCATGGTGCAGAGCACTTATATGTCCGATGTATAAAGATGGAGATACGAACAGTGTGAATAATTATATATAGAGGCATTTCATTATTACCCGTTTTGGGGAAAATATTCACAAAAATGATCAACGAACGCCTGCAGCTATGGTGTGATGACAATAATATATTATATGAAAACCAGTTTGGTTTTAGAAAAGGACGCTAAACAGTCGACAGTATTTTCACATTGTATTGAATGATACAGAAATACCTATCAAAATCAACCGGTGGAAGATTTGATTGTCTCTTCATTGACTTCAGTAGAGCGTTTGACTGTTCACCATAACTTGCTTTGGCATCGGCTTATCAAATATGGTATCCATTGAAACGTGCTAAAAATTCTACGAGATATGTATTCGAAACTAAAAGCTTGTGTAAGAACTGATAATGGTTTAACTGAATATTTTAACTGTTTTATTGGAACACGACAAGGATGCATGATCAGCCCGACACTCTTTTGCCTGTTTATAAATGAATTGGTCAACGAACTAAATCAATCTGACTCTCGTGAAATATTCATCTCAGAAGAAGCACCAAATATTTGTTCTTTATTATACGCCGATGATGTTGCCAACACTGCCGATACCACTGGAAGATTACAACAACAGATCAAATGTATAAGTGAATAGTGTAAAAAATGGGGACTGTCTCTAAATATGAACAAATCAAAGATAATCGTTTTTAGAAATGGTGGACGTTTAAGGAACTATGAAAACTGGACTTACAGAGAAGAAAAGATAGAGACTGTTTCATCTTATAAATATTTGGGACTTTTTGTCACTGCTAAATTGCTATGGACAAAAGCAACGGCAACACTTTCACAACAAGCAGAAAAAGTATGTCATTATATCTATAAAATAACTATGTAGAGGATTACCAATGACTACTGCAATCAAGATGTTCGAATCCATGGTTTTACCAATATTAACATATGGCTCTGAAGTTTGGGGTTTCCAATACTACGAAACTATAGAGACGGTACAGACTAAATTTTACAAACGGATTCTTTACCTACCAAATAATGCAAGCAATGACGCTGTTCTTGGTGAAACTGGAAGACAACGATTATATGTGTATTATATTAGTAAATGTATTAAATATTGGACAAAATTAATCTCTATGAACACTGATCGTCTACCGAAGCAAACGTATTTAATGATGTACAAATTAGATGAAGCTGGCCGTATATCATGGGCAACATATATAAAAAACAATCTTTTCAAGTATGGATTTGGCTACGCCTGGATAATTCAAGATGCTGGAGATCCGCAAATATTCATTTCACAATTCAAACAACGTATCGTGGACTGTGGTCAACAACGTTGGACTGAAAACCTATCTCAAAACTTAAAACTTAAAACATATTTAACTTTCAAATCGGTATTAACAATAGAAATGTACCTTCAGGAAGTAAACAAGAAGATCTATAAAGAAACCCTAACAAGATTCCGATGCAGCTGCCATAAACTTATGATCGAAACTGGACATCATACCAATATAGAAGAAAACAAAAGATTTTGCCCACAATGTAAAAAATTGGACTTCAACTACATTGAAAATGAATATCATTTCCTCCTTATTTGTACTTCATATTCAACATTACGTTTACATTTTATTGATACATATTTTCACACTAAGCCATCATATGAAAAATTTGTAAATCTTATGTCTTCTAAATGTAAATACACTATTACACAACTTGCCAAATATATCTACCACGCTTTTAGATTACGCGAGTCACTCACAATTCACTGATATATTATGTATGTATTATATTAATTTCATGTATTTATGCATACACTTTATTGATATCATGTATGTCTATGGGCCTATGGCCTGAAACTTGGAGGAAATAAACTCTAGAGAACGTCCAGGTTCAGCTAGACATGGATCCTACTTTGGACAAAAGTTTGTTCTCCCTCTAATGAGTGTGTCACGCGTTGCACACGGGTATCACACACGTTGCGGACGGGTCCGAGTGACCAACGGGGTGCACACGGGTTGCGTAACGCGTTTCCCATGCGTGTAAGGGGAATGAACTTCAAGGCAGTAGTGTAGCTATACATAGTGATACATGCACACCCAGGAAGTCAGTTTACAACGCAGTTATATATAGGAATACATGCACACCAAGAATGTCAATACACAACGTAGCTATAAATAGTGACATATGCACACCTAAGATGTCAGTATACAACGTAGCTATATATAGTGATACATGTAGACCGAAGATGTTAGTATAGAACGTAGCTATATATAGTGACACAGGTACACCCGGGATGTTAGTATACAGCGTACCTATCTATGGTGACACATGCACACCCAGGTTGTTAGTATACAACGTATCTATACATAGTGACACATGTACACCTAGGATGTCAGTATACAACGTAGCTATATAAAGTGACACATGTACACACAGGATGTCAGTATGCAACGTAGCTATATATAGTGACACATGTACACCCAGGATGTTATTTTACAACGTAGCTATATATAGTGACACATGCACTCCCAGGATGGGAGTACACAACGTAGCTATATATAGTGACACATGCACACCCAAGATGTCAGTTTTCAAAGTAGCTATATATAGTGACACATGCACACCCTGGATGTCATTATACAATGTACCTATATAAAGTGACACATGTACACCCAGGATGTCAGTATACAACGTAGCTATACATAGTGACACATGTACACCGAGGATGTCAGTAAACAAAGGAGCTATATATAGTGACACATATACACCCAGGATGTCAGTATACAACGTACCTATATATAGTGACACATGTACACACAGGATGTGATCAGTATTCAACGTAGCTATACATAGTGACAAATGTACACCTACGATGTCAGTAAGAACGTAGCTGTATGTAGTGGTAGATGTACACACAGGATGTCAGTATACAACATAGCTATATATAGTGACACCTGTACACCTAGGATGTCAGTATACAACGTAGCTATATCAAGTGACACATGTACACACAGGATGTCAGTATGCAACATAGCTATACATAGTGACACATGTACACCTACGATGTCAGTAAGAACGTAGCTGTATGTAGAGGTAGATGTACATATGTATACACAGGATGTCAGTATACAACATAGCTATATATAGTGACACATGTACACCTAGGATGTCAGTATACAACGTAGCTATATAAAGTGACACATGTACACACAGGATGTCAGTATTCAACGTAGCTAAACATAGTGACACATGTACACCTAGGATGTCAGTATACAACGTAGCTATATAAAGTGACACATGTACACACAGGATGTCAGTATGCAACGCAGCTATATATAGTGACACATGTACACACAGGATGTCAGTATGCAACGTAGCTATATATAGTGACACATGTACACCTACGATGTCAGTAAGAACGTAGCTGTATGTAGAGGTAGATGTACATATGTATACACAGGATGTCAGTATACAACGTAGCTATATATAGTGACACATGTACACCCAGGATGTCAGTTTGCAAAGTAGCTATATATAGTGACACATGTACACACAGGATGTCAGTATACAACGTAGCTATATAAAGTGACACATGTACACACAGGATGTCAGTATTCAACGTAGCTATACATAGTGACACCTGTACACCTACGATGTCAGTATACAACGTAGCTATATATAGTGACACATGTACACCCAGGATGTCGGTATACAACGTAGCTATATATAGTGACACATGTACACCCTGGATGCCAGTATGCATCGTGGCTTTTTAAAGTGCTACATGTGCACAGCCCGGTTGTCAACACAGAACATTATGTTTCAGACAATGTGTATAATCAGTCAGCGTGTCAATGGACAATGAACAGATTTGTCACTTAATTTGTAAAATGACTAAAATATTTAGACATTTTAGAATTTGCCTAAATGAATCAGATTGAACACATTGAGTGCAACATGTATATTGGTACGTATTCACATTGGGTGTTAGTGTAGATCATAGCAGGATGCGCATGCGCCTGGATAGCATGTCGCTGAAAAGAATGCTCCGTCACAATCGCGTTAATTATGAGATGATGTTGTGCAAAAATAATGTAATTTGACCTTGAAGCAACTCGGAATGGGTATATGTGAGTGAATCATGAAAATTATTGAGCGTTTTGCTTAAAATCAAGTGTCCAAAATGTAAACAAATGTGA